ACCCAGATCTGTTCAAGTTCGAGCCGATTCAGTGGCGCTGGCAGTGGAAGTAACTGGCGGCACAGACGCCACCGGTGCCGTGAGGCTGCAGAATTTCACCTCCAATCGGCATCAAATCGACGGGTGCCATGCTAATCCTCAGATACTGTACTTAAGCACATGACAGAATGGGCTTTCGTGATGTGCCAAGCATTTATACTCTTGAAAAACGATGGGATACGCGAGCTTATAGGGATCTAGTACAATTATGTGGGTATGTTGCTAATGGATTCACCGGGTACTCGATTGCGTAAGGGCTGTGTAATTTTTGACGAATATTTACCTGAGCTTAATGCACGGGCTCGAGTGTATCGCGTAGCACAGATTGTAACGCGATTAATCGTGTATAATCAGCGGAATCAGTCGGACGTTCAATACAACGAATCATGTGAGCAGCGTTTTGAAGTCGTTCTCGATGGCTTTCCACGGGTCGTAGCTCAGCAGCAGGTCGGTGCTGTCGACGTCCTCGGCGCCGATCCGGTGCGAGCAGAGCGCCGGCCTTCGCCCGAGGGGCTCGCCGGCGGCACTGGCCGCCGACAGGTGGCCGCATGAGCGGGCCGGCGCGGCACCGGGCGGCGGCGGGCTGGCCAGCGGCCGGTACGGCCGGTCCACGCTGTGCAGGGACAGCTGCCCTGGACTGTCCCATTGGGAGCGGCTGCTGGAGCAGGCCGAGCGCGGCGAGCTGCCGCCGACCAGCCCCTGCTGCCGCTCCCAGCTGCGCTGCGTCACGCCCTCGTCGGCCGCCGCCGCCGCTCCTGTGTACTGCCGGATCCGAACGCTGAGCTCGCCGGCGCTGGGCGGCGCGCTGCTGGCGCCATGGCGCGGCTCCAGCTCGCTGGCGCTCGGCGCCGACAGCTGGGCGCCGGGCGCCGTGTCGCCGTACGGCTGGGTCCGCTCCCCGAGCTCGGTGTCGGCGCGCTGTGTGATGCGGTCGCTCAGCTCGGCGCGTCGGAAAAACTCAGCCATCTGGCTGAGCAACCGGTTCGACTCGGTCAACGTGTTCAGGATGCACCGCGAGGTGCCAGGCGCGCGCGGCGAGCGCGGACGGCCAGGCGGCGGCGGCGGGCAGGCGGCGTCCGTCTGCACGGCCGCCTCCGCCGCGGCGCCGGCCAGCCGCGGGGTCGTCTGACACGCAGTGCTGCTGGTGCCGGCTGGCCCGGACCTAGCCGTCTCGGCGGCGGCGAGCCTCGGCTGACCGTCGCCGCTGTGCGCCGGCCGTGGCGGCCCGAACATCTCCTCCAGCACGCGGCGCACGAGTCCGGCGGCGGCGTCAACGTCGCGCGGCGCCTGGAGCTGAGTGTCGCGCCGTTCGGGTGAGGTGGTGCTGGAGGAGCCGGCATGCCGCTCCGGCTGACCGTCGGCGGCCCGCTGTCGGCGCCGTGGCCGTGACCGGTGCACCTGGCGTAGCCTCTGGGCGTCGAAGACGAACTCCTGCGCCGGCTCGTCGGAGGGGTTCGAGTCTTGCGCGGACGCCACGTGGTGCGGGTGGGACGACACGTTGATGCGGATCTTGCGCCGCACGGGCGGCTGGAGCACTTCGATTACGCGCGGCGGCTCCTCCTGCTGGCGACAGCACTTCTCCACGATCTCGGGCAGCTTCGCGATAAGCCATTTGTTGTAGTCGCTGGCTTCCCCGTCGGCCATGTCGATGTGCAGCTCCTCCGATACCTCTCGGTCGTCGGTGTCGGCGGGGCCGCGCGCCGACGCTGTCCGCGCGGCTCTGTGGGCCTCGGGCGCCGGTCCCACGGTCAGACTCCGACCGGGAAGCAGCTGGCGGATCTGCGAGGCCGCCTCGCCACCACGCCGGAGCCGCCGGCGCGGCCGCTTACTCATGTAGGGGCTGACACTGCCACTCTTCATGGAAACGGGTTGGCTGCTTGCTGTAAGTGCCTCGGGGTAGCGATAGATGAAGTCCCGCCGGTAGGTGGTTTGGTACGTCTCATCCGCGTCCCGAACCCTCGCTGCCATTCAGCGCAAGTTCAAATTAAGAATGCAAGCTCATCGTTTGATTTGTAGACCATCTGGCAGTACAAGGTATCTACGCAGCCACACATTAAATTTCTGGTCTATCGCGAGGTAGAGGAGCTGCCAATTGTTGGAAGTGGTACAACCTGCCCAAGGTCAAATGAATAAGGCGCTGCTCTGAGGTTATAGGCGGTTGCTGTCTGCGTCAATGCACCGAGCCGAAAAGCCCACGAGGCATATCTGGGCTTCTTAACGTGTTTCACGTTTAAGCCTATTTACGTCGGGTTTTTCGCAGCCTCGTGACTCTATTCCTGACCCTCCGCCCGCGTGGTAAGCCAACTAGTATCGATTTGTCGCCTGCGTCGTTGGCGTCGTAGGTCACTGATCTCGGCCAGTCACAGGTCGCGCCGCTACCGCTCGACGGCGTCAGAGGCGGGGAAGCGCAGCCGACGAGAAAAGATGCCTCAGCAAATCCACGTGATGTGGGGACCGGGCCAGCCGCCAAGCTCTCTCAGTCGGATACATGGATTGGGATCAGAGCCACCCTGTTTTGTGAAGTTGGTAGCTATACCGTTTTCAGCAATGGTAATGTGAGCTTCAGACCTGTATCACATCGATTTTGTATTCAAGCAATTCCGACTGCTTCTGTGGGAACGTCTTCGTCGATACGAAATCTGGTTGGCACAGTCAAACAACACAATCAATTGAACAATAGAGCAATTCATAACGCACCACGATGTGCGATGACGGGTATGGCGGGATGTACACGTGCAACAGTTGAAACATACCTGGGTGACATGAAGACAGTAGAGTGAATCTATCGCGATTGTCTCCTGCAACAGCTTTCGGATTTCTAGATGAACATCCTGATTCCTCACATGTCTTACCATACTTAACATAC